CCCCTGAGATTTCTAATATGCTTGACGAGCTATCACTAGTCTCGCTCGAAGAGCTCCTTGAGGATTCTGTAGACTCGCTCGAAATGACAATATGTGCGTCGTCAGCCATAGCACCTGAAAAGCAGAGGAAAAGGATGAGCTCGACATCAATGCCAGAACCATCTCTCCACCGCTAAACAAGCGAAAGGGTGCTGGGAGGCGAGGATCATATCCCCGACTAGAACCCTCACTGAGGTATGCTGACGGGCACAAAACGCGAGAGAAGGTCCTAATCCCTCACTAAGGCACACTAACGGGTTGGAATCGCAAAAAAAGCCCAGAAATCCTATGAGGAATTCTAACGGGCACAAATTATAAAAAATATCAAACCCTAATGAATCACCTATAACACAGCGCCAGGCCCCTAAGGAAGCCCCACGGAGGCTCCAGCAGCCATGCACCACAGGAACAACGTCCGCCACCTAGAGTCTCTAACAACCTCCTCCCTAACGAAACCCTAAATCCTAACCGCATGCATATCTAGAAGGCAAAAAATGAAAACACTAAGACATGCAACAATGGAGGAACGAAAACTCAACGATAGAAGAAGAAGAGATGAAGTTGGATGACCATGAACGAAGAAACTGAGCAAATACCGGTGGTCGACTGTCGAACTAATACGAGCAGTTGAAGGAGAAGGCGAAAAATACTAATCGCCTTGTTCCTCTCGTATTTATAGCTGAAACAGCCCACACGTACCAAACACGCGTCTTAGGAACCTCAGGGTCATCATTATGACACCCTAGCCCTAGGCCATCATTTGTGCCACTCAACCGACACGTTTCTCAAAACATGCTACCTCTCCAAATCCAAAAGTCCCAACGGCAAACGTTTCGCCTCCCCGACAGAGAAGTATAACGGGCAAACGCTCATTTCCCCGTCCCTCGAGCAGACATCAAAGTCTTCACTCCTGTGCCCAGAAGCAACGACTTAGGGGACTACTATTCTGGACTGGCCCGAAAGCTTGAGTGGGCCCAGTCTAAGACATCTCATAGGTGCCACCCACTGACCGTGACCCGGACTGCCCGCACCTATCGGGCAATGTCACCCTCTTGCCCTTCTGGTCCAGCGCCGATCCAAGATGCCCGTCGAACGTCTTCTTAGCCTGCCCGAAACCAGCATCATACAAGCCACCAGGGGCTGACCAGAGAGATGCCCGCAACCAGCCTCCTCCCCGGAACCAACGTCTAGTTACGATCACGTCTGCCCGGTTTGACCAAGTCCTGGAAGTTATCCGATTTTCCGAACCCACATATCTAGGCGGGAAATCAAGAACCAATAGCCACGCACCATGGGCATTATATAAACCCTCACACCTGTGAGGGCCAGGTATCATATATTCACTACTCACTACCTGACATTTTGCTAGTACCTCCTTGCTCCCACTCTTACTTGATTGTTGGAGTATCTTGCAGGTACAACCCTCTCTCTCCTCAGTCCGACTGAAGATCATCCTCCGGCCACTCTCCAGGTTCTGATCAACCGCAAGATCAATAGACATTTATATTTTGGTTATGTACAGAAACAACATAAATCATGAGCATGATCAACCTCCGCATCTTCGATTGAAGGACCCAAAGGTTCTTGAACTTACAAATTTACCGGTGCATGTTGCTCTCGAGTCACGATATTATCCTGCACGATTATACGAGTAATGCCCACTTACTACAACTTGGTTTCAAAAGGATTTAGCTTCTAAATCATTCTGATATTTTTCATCCATCCTTCTCAAATATAGATATGTTACAGATGAGAAAAATCAACTGAAGTTGCTGATTAATGCTCAAAATTATTTGCATTGCAAGGTATGTTTTCAGACCGTTTTAGAGGATTTTATGTTTACTCTCTATTCATAATTTTTTTCTGAATCTTTTATATCATGCACGATTTAATTCAGCGATTTGATATTCAGACTTGTGATATCAAAGATCCAAAACAAAACATCAAGTGGACAGTGCCCGAAGAGGGTGGCGGGTCGGGATACTCAGTAATATAGATATGGGAGTTAGTTATATATTGTTGTCCCCCCAAATTGGAGATTCCTTAATGTATTCACCTGAATTATACATTTATAGTTGTAGCATAGTCCCCATTTTCTTTCTAATCCATACATACCAACCAACCCAGTCCTGCCAAAAGAGGAATACTACAGAAAAAAGTTACTTGTGAAAATAAAAAAGTTGTCGACGTTACTCATCTTAAAAGACAACTAGCACGTTAGACTATTTTATTACAATTAGAATCTTAAAGATTTGTTAGACTATTTTTCAAAAATAATTAGAATCTTACTGGTGAGTCTTTTAAGAATATTGTTTCTTAAGAATACTATGTAAGGAAGCAATTTCAGAGCTGGTAAGTTGTTCACGACTGTTATAGATATTCTTTGGGTTGGACACAATTCAGATAAGCTGCTGAAAATTTTCATAATTTGATGTGCATCTAGGGAGTATCATACTAAAAATTTTGTGGTTCGTAGAAGTCTATACTAAAAATTTTTACTTGTGAAAAATAATAATAACTTTAAAAGGTACGCACTTCATTATATAATCTTCATATTATTATTGTTGTTGATATATATATATATATATATATATATATATATATATATATATATATATATATATATATATATATATATATATATATATATATATATATATATATATATATATATATATATATATATATATATATATATATATATATATATATATATATATATATATATATAAAATAAAATTGTTTTTTTGTATTTCTTATAAAATTCTATCCATTTCAAATAAGTTACTAATAATACTTACAATAAAATAAATAAAAAATCGAACCGACAATAAATGTTTTATAATACACCATAATGATTAGAGTAAGATATTAATATTTTATATACAAAAAGTAATGAATAGAAAGAAAAGTGGTTGATATATATTTAGTGTATGATAAAAAAATAAAAGAAATATAAATTAAAATATTATTGAATCTACAATTTTATATGAGAATTGATCTTTTAACGAAATTTTCATATATATCTTTAAAAGGACACATATGAAGAAAAAAAAAGACACGTATTCTAGAAAATGAAATAGTACACATATGAAAATTAAAAAGAAATGGAAAAATATAATTTTTTAAGATAGTGTAAAAAGAGAGGCCTAAGTGATAGGTTTAATATAAAAATATAAAAAATAGTTGAAATGGAGATAGATTCTTCATATTAGCTTCTACAATTCAATCTATTTCAAAATTAAGTAATTCATGATATTATTAATGAAGATGAAAGAAAAGAAAATAAAAATATAAAATTTACAATAATTTTTTAACCATACAACCGAAATAACTGAAATAACATATTATTATATCACATATAAAAAATAGTGAATATAGAAAAAAATAGGCATAATATACGTTCAGTGATACAATGTTAAAAAAAAAACACGAAAAAAACATAGATTAAAATATCATTGTACTATCATTTAGAATGAAAAATGATATTTCAACAAAATTCTCATATTTATATCTCCTAAGATAATAAAAAGTTATAAAAATAATTTTTTTTATGAAAATATTAAAGATAAAACTATTAAAATGAGAATTAAAGACTTCATACAACAAAGATATTAAATTTGCAGAATTATGAAAGTTATAGAATTAAAGTTTTATAAATTATTATGAGTTGTAGAAATGAATTTTTTAAAGATATTTAATAAAAACTATTAAAATCATAATTAAAGACTTCATAAAAAAGATTTTAAAAAAATCAAAATTTTAAAATTAGGGAACATTCAAAAATTAATTTAATAAAATATAAAAATTAAATATTTTTTTATATATATTAAAGTGAGGCCTATATTTTATATTGAGAATTTTAAAAAATACTAAAAATTAGACTAATAAAATAAGTGAAATAATTTTTTTTATAAATGTAAGTTCTACATTTTATATTGTCTTAAAAGTTTCTTTCAAACATATATATTTGAGATTCAAATTAAAATAGATAGATATTTTTTAATAATATAAAATAGTCATTTCTTTTTTGTAAATATTTTTTAAATTAATATTATCTATTTCATATGTATCTTTTATATTTTATATTATTTTATTTGTTATTCTAATAACACATCTCATTTTTTATATTTTTTATTACTTTATTTTTCCCATATCTTAATTTTATTTCTTTCAATTCTCACTTTTTATATCTATTCTTTTATTAATAGTATTTTTTATTCTTTTAGTTGGAAGTTTTTTTTTTAATAATAATTTTTATTTGGAAATTTTTAATAGTGATAATTAAATATTATATTTTTATTTATAATAATGATGGTTGAATACTAAATTAAATTATATATATATATATATATATATATATATATATATATATATATATATATATATATATAGTAAGAGCTATTAAAGTGAGAATTATTAAATTGAGGATTAAAAAACAGTAAAAATTAAACTAATAAAATAAGTGAAATATTTTTTTTTATAAATGTAACTTCTATATTTTATATTGTCTTAAAAGTTATTTTCAAACATATATATTTGAGATTCAAATTAAAATAGATAATATCTTATAATAATATAAAATAGTCATTTGCTATTTATAAATATTTTCAAGACAATATTATCTATTTCATATGTATTGTTTAAATTTTATATTATTTTATTTGTCATTCTAATAATACATCTCATTTTTTATTTTTCGTATTACTTTATTTTTTCCATATCTTAATATTATTTCTTTGAATTCTCACTTTTTTATATCTATTCTTTTATTAACAGTATTTTCTATTTTCAATATATTAAATAAATGTGTTTGAACAATTTTCAAATACATTGTCTATTCAAAAAATACTATTTTTTTTTAGAGAGAGAGAGAGCCCGTGTCTTTTGTTATTGTTTGATACTTTCCATATCTACTTGAGATTTCAAACAAACACTTCTCTCTTTACCTTAACACCTCCACCACCAAACCCCACATCACACTGTCTTCATATTTTTTATTCGACAGAACAAAATCATCAACAACAAAAAAACAACTAAATTTAACCTTAAAAATATAATATTTTCACCTTTTTTTAATTTTAAATCCAAAATTTATCAGATTCCTAGGTATCATTCCTTTTCCTTCTTCTTTCCTCTTTTCTTTTTTGTCTACAAATTCACTTTCCCTTCTTATTTATTTATTATATTATATTATTTATTTTATTTTTATTATTATCATTGTTGTTGTTTTTCCAGTGTTTGGTTTTTCATATAAACCTTTCAAGATCTCACGGGGCATGATCAGAACCTAAAGACAAATTCTTTTTCATATAAACAGTATCTTCAGGATCGTGAGTGATTATTTCACGACCCCGACGTTAAAGGGTTGTCTCTGTTTCTGTTTCTGTTTCTGTTTCAGTTTCTCCTTCGTTTGAGTTTAAGTTTTTTTTTTTTTGCCACCTTTAAGGTTTCGGTCGGAAAGTTTGGATTTTTCACATACCCTTTTGATTTTTAGCCATGATTTCATCATTGAGACAACCTAGCATTTCGATCAGTGGTTCTGATGTTGTTTTAAGGAAAAGACATGCAACCCTAATTCAGCCACAACCACAATCGTTTTTACCTTTACTGTCAAGAGGGAAATCACTGAGATCTGTTGTTTCGTTGAAGAAGCCTCTTCATCTTGCATGTATTGGTGTTGGAAATTTTGGGTCAGTGGAGAAATTTGAATCAGATGAGAGTTTTGGGAAAAGTGATTTGGTGAAGTGTGGAGCTTATGAAGGTGATAGATCAGAGGTTGAAGGTGGTGGTGGAGCATCATCAGAAGCTGCTAAGAAGGTGAAAATCGGGATATATTTTGCGACTTGGTGGGCTTTGAATGTTGTGTTTAATATTTATAACAAGAAGGTTTTGAATGCGTATCCTTACCCTTGGCTTACTTCGACTCTTTCGCTTGCTTGTGGATCACTTATGATGTTGATCTCTTGGGCTACTAGGATTGCTGAAGCTCCTAAGACTGATCTTGAGTTTTGGAAGACTTTGTTCCCTGTAAGTGTTTGATTTTGTTTTTTTTTGTTTGTTTGTTTAGAGGGAAAATGATAAATTGATTGTGTGAATTGAAAGGTTTGTTTTGTTTGTTTATATGTTTCTTGAGAAAGTTGTTGTATGAAGCACGAACAATGACACTTATATGTCATTGACATGTCGACACTGATAATAGTTTGTTAAAAATGAATAAATTGAACATAATCAGAAGTGTCGTGTTGGTACACTTAGACAGACATGACACTGAGACAAACACGCATTTTTCAGAAGTGTTGGTGTTCTGAGAATGGTTTTTTGTCTTATGCAATTGTGAACAAACACACACATCTGGATGATAACTATGTTGGTTGAGTTCAGAAAGAAAAAAAAAACAAAATAGTGAAAATTTTGCTGACTCCATTCAATTTTTCTACTTCATATGAATATTGAATTGATGTTTTCAAACACGGTTATAGTGGAATTGAATTGAACGCGGTTATAACTATGTTTGTTAACAAAGTTATGTCAAATTTCGGCTATAGCAAGGTTATAGCGCTGTAGCATAGTTGAGTTTGTTTGTTTTAAATGAACCAATTTTTGTTACGATTTGCAATTGTGATTGATAACACTGGAATGAATACAAAAAGTTATGAACCAATTTGGTTATTTTCAATCATTTTGAATGTGGATAGTGACTTTAGTCTTTGATGTTTCAACTACAGGTTGCTGTTGCGCACACGATTGGACATGTAGCGGCTACGGTTAGTATGTCCAAAGTTGCAGTATCATTTACGCATATCATCAAGAGTGGCGAGCCTGCTTTTAGCGTTCTTGTTTCGAGGTTTGTTTTGGGCGAGTCTTTCCCCGTGCCGGTCTATCTGTCTCTACTTCCAATCATTGGTGGATGTGCACTTGCTGCTGTGACTGAGCTCAATTTCAATATGATCGGTAACAAATTTGTCTGATTATTTGTGTTGGAATGTGTTTCTTGTGATTTTGCTGCAAGATATTCTGAATTAGTACTCTCCCGTCTTTGATTTTATCGATTTTGATTTGTTTTGTTTTGTTTTTCAGGTTTTATGGGGGCTATGATATCAAATCTGGCATTTGTGTTCCGAAATATCTTTTCCAAAAAGGGGATGAAGGGAAAATCCGTTAGTGGAATGAATTACTATGCTTGTTTGTCTATTTTGTCCCTTGTGATTCTCACACCCTTTGCAATCGCCGTGGAAGGACCGGCAATGTGGGCAGCTGGATGGCAAACAGCTCTCTCTGAAATCGGACCCCAATTCATATGGTAATCATCAGATGAATGCGTGGTTTAATGTTATCCTTGTTATTTTTGTTATTAACATGGTTGTGTTCATGTTCATCTAAATCTGTATGCATCATCTCTCTTTTAATGGCTTATACACGTTTATTCATAAGCACTTGTGCTATAAGCTGCAAATAAGCTGTTTATCCAAACAGGCCCTATATCTTTCGCCTGTCTGAAAGTATTGTATATGGTTTAAATCATTGATTCATTTGATTTTCAAACACACGCATAACATCAGTATGAAAGGTCGAATGGACCGAAAGAACTACAGAGTTCAATTTTTATTATGTGACTATGACAGAATTAATGCTACATTATACATGAAAAATGTTCTCTTGTGACAGTAAACCGAGTTTGTGAGTAATCTGTTTATTAAATTCTGTTTATCATTTTGTTTGGAAAGCACGACCTCTCGATGTTATGACTAAAACTATGACTCGTAAATGTATGCAACAGGTGGGTAGCTGCTCAGAGTATATTCTATCATCTATACAATCAGGTGTCTTACATGTCGTTGGACGAGATCTCTCCTTTGACATTTAGCATTGGAAACACCATGAAACGTATATCAGTCATAGTATCTTCAATTATCATCTTCCACACACCAATCCAGCCTGTCAATGCTCTGGGAGCCGCAATTGCCGTCTTTGGAACCTTCTTATACTCACAGGTATGCTCTCATCAGTCTTTATTTTGCTATATAGCACCGACACTTACATTAAAGGCATGTCTGGTGTCTGATACGTGACAATATTTGTTGTCTGACACATGTCAAATGTGTCACATTGACACATATATTGTTACATTCAATAACTTTATTTTCTTAAATGATTACCATTATCTACATGTTTGTGTCATATCTGGCGTATGTGTCTGGCGGTCGTGTGCGTTTGTATGCCCCTCATTGAGAAGTTAGGTGAATCAATGTTTTTATTGGCTGCTAGTACATTGAATTGCCACCTAACTCTATTGGTTTGAAAACCCTACCCCCAAATATTCTTTTTCCAAGTCAATGTCAACATGAGTTGGCTTTACTTTCTTTAGTTTCCATATTTTGACTGCACCAAATTCTTTGAACACATGCTTTGGTTCATACCTTTATATTGAGACTTTAATAGGAGCTTCTAACACCAATAAAAATAGGTATCATGTGGGACCTTGAAAAATAGAGAAAAAGGAGAAGAAACAAAAGATGGGTTATAAACAATTTAGAATATTGATTAGATTCTTTGAAGATAAATGTGATTTTTTAACTACATAATAATGTAGTATATTATGGGAGGCTCGTCTCACGCAATGTTGGTAGAACCATAATGGCATGCCTCCCCGTTTAGGTTCGCCCTGCAAAAAACGGGGCAGGCGGGCATAAGTTAGGGTGCAGGCCAAAAAACTTTGGTCCGTCCCGCAAATAAATGAGGGCGAGGCGGGCATGTGGGCCTTGCACCCAACCACCCCTAAAGGCTAAAAATTGCAAAAGGTTTTGCTAATGCTCGCGCATGCAAAATAACCGGACATACATATTAGAGGCCGCAAGTCTAAAACCTTGGCCTGCCTTAAAATAAATGTGGGCAAAAGAGCATGTTTGGCGGGTCGGGTCCGTTTTGTCACCCCTTAAAGGTAAATAAGCGAGATGTTGCGGATTCAAACCCGCGCCATTATAATCGCATCGCATGTTTCTGCAAATCTATCAATTGAGCTGACTTAATGCAACAATTATTTATTTATTTTTATAGATAATATTTTTATTGGTTCATATACTTATTCTTGTTTTACTAATTTTTGCAGGCAAAACAATAGAGTTGAGTAATAAAGAAATCCTCATCTTCAAACCTACAAGTTGATTTTGGAACATTTGGCTGCTTGATTTTTGTATAACTAGGATGATCTGGCTTTTTGTGCATCTGTAGATAATAAAAATTAATAAGAATCAGAATAATGCTGCTAGAAATATTATCATTAAACAGATGATCAGTGAGTTTTTTTGTTTTGTTTTAATTTCTGAAATGCCAATGAATTGCAATAAATGTTCCCGTTTATATAGTATGAGAATAATAATTTCTCAAAACAATGTTTACTATAAGAAGTTTTATTTATAATTTATGATGTGTGTGATCTATCTAATGCTATTTTTTTTTTTCAATTATTGGTGAAGATGCAACTTGGGATTAAAATATTAATGCATTTTGTTTAAGTGATTGTGACCCTTTCTAAGTTTCCATGTGAACTTTGTCTTTTGAGAAAACAACTTTTCACTTTTCTTAAGGACATGTTTTCTCTTGATTGTTGATAAAATGCATCCTCAATTTATTTGATAAATGGTTTCTCTTGAACTTGATTTTTTTTTTTGAAAAATTAATCAAAGTTAAATTATGGTTTTTAATATTAAATTTAACTATGTAGAATTTAAATAAAATAGTGTATCGCTTTATTTTATTTTAGAAACTATTATTTCTTCCATCTCATATTATATCTCATATTATTTGTCGCAATTAACTATATCACATAGATTAAAAAATAGTAAATTAAGTGAGAAAATAATACATTAAGAGTATTTATTAAAGTGTACAATTAGAAAATTAAATATAAAATTGTACATTGTTAATCTAAAATGACAAGTATTTTTTTCGGTTCAAAATGACTCTTATTTAAAGTTTTTGTATACAAATTAAGAAATGTAATAATGTTGTCAAAAACATTACACTTTTATAAAGTAGTGTCCAAAGTAAAAAGAAAATTGCCTGAAAAAAATAATAATCATTATTATATTGAAAAGCGAAAATAATAATCATTTTAAAATAAATTTTATTTATTAAAATGATAGTCATTTTGAAACAGAAGGAGTATTTTGAAACAATTTTTTTTTTAAATGCGGCATTTATTTTAGGATGGAGAAAGTAATATAATATTTTTTTAAATGCGACATTTATTTTAGGATGGAGGAAGTAATATACAAAATAATTGTAGTCTTAAAATTATAAATTTTAGTAAATGGTTTGAGTTTGAATTTTTTGGAAAGTTTCATACATTTTTATACGATTATTTTAAAAGATATTTGTGTCTTACTATATTCAATAATAATATAAAATAACATGATACTTATAATAAAATAAATTAGAAAGAATAACATTATCTTAAGTCTTGTTGAAACAGAATTGCTCATTAAAATATCTTTTTTTCAAATTATACATTACTTATTTCTTTTTACAAAATGTCTAGTCATGTGTTACATCTTTTATGTTATTACGTAACTAAGATAACAATTGAATAGTAATTTTAGAGCATAAGTATAAAAACATTGAAATTCTATGCATTCAAAAGGAACAGCCCCCTTTTTTATTAACAATAAAAAACCTTTTTATAAAATATTGAAATTAAAGAATAACACTAAGAATATCTTTTATGGCTCTTGAAACTACTTCAAACATTTGTAATTAAATTATTAGAAATTATTGTAAATAATTATTATTTAACAATAAGTAAATTAAATTTTTATATTTTATATTTTAAATACTGTGTATTCAAAATATAAAAGCTCTCATTTTTTGAGTTAACAATATGTTTTTAATTCTTAAAAAACAACAAATTTCAACATTAAAATTTATTATAATATTACAGTTTGCAAGAATAATTTGTTTTTGAAAATTATTTTACAGAAAATGATGTTTAATCTTCAAAATATTATTATAAAATATAAATTAAAGATTAAAAATCAATATTTTTTTTTTGAAAAATAAATGTGAAAGGTCATAACTTTGGAGAAATTTAAAATATTTTTAATTAATTACATTTTGACTCTTTAACCTGATTTACTAAATCAGTTATTTATTTCTAGTTCAAATAGTTTTATTCTCCCTCTCACATTTTTGTATTTTAAATTAACAATATTTCATTTTCGAATGATGTATTATTTATGAAATATGATAATTATCATATATATGAATGTTTTGTGAAACTTTATAGATAAAAATATAAATAAAATAAATAAATTTTTAATCGGTTTTCATGTATAAAAATAAGAAAAGATCAAAATAGATTAAATTTGAAATAAAAAGGTTAATTTTTATGAATAAAATAAAATAGAAAGAGCAAAACTATAATAATTAAATCATATATTCTTAATTTTTTTTTTTAATTTAATAAATTAATCATCTGAATTTTAAGTTGATGAGATGGCATAATAATTTAATAAATATGAAAAAGGAAAAGAAAGAGAGAGAGAGAGAATTGCACCCGTTTCATGGAGACTACATATGAAGTTACTTCCACAAGATGAATAGAGCAAGCAAATAAAAACCCTTCTCCAATATTTGTATAAAGCATTCTTTAAAGAGTGCCCTCTCTATGTTCTCCAAAACTATGATTATATAGAAACATGATAAGGGGAAATAAAAATGGTGAACTCATTACTACTAAATTTTGGCAGACACTAGTTTTATAGGGCTATGGTGATGATAGGTTTTGTAAGATTGAGGTGAGTTTATAATAAAACAAAATTGATGGATAAGGTTTTCTAGTATTTAGTAATAACCACAACCTCAAAAATTTCCAAAATAATGTGGGTCACTTGATAAGTTTCTTACAAATTGATGAACATATTTATGGGCTTTTTTTGTATGTATGTGGTTAAGTTTAGGGATTGACTTTCTTTCTCCACCTTACATTTCTAAAAAAATAATCATACAAATTTTTAAATGTGTTTTTCTAGACTATCGATAACTCTTCATTGTGTACGTTTTTGTAGTAAAAAGTTTAAATATTTATTTCATTATTCTTAAATTTTAGCTAAATTTAGAGTTATTTTTATTGTGTTGCTATTGGTCTAATGGTCAATGCCACTACTTAATTAGATATGTTGAAAAAGAAAGTGCGATGAGGAGAGTTCAATAGTAATCATCCGTAAATTTTTTTTTAGTCTCTGTATTTTTTTTTGAATAAAGTTTTTAAATGTTAGATTTTATTAGGTTTTAGTCTTTAAAACTAAAATCCGTAAAAAAATTTGTAGGTTCTCTGCGGATTTTAACTTCACGAAAAAAATACAGGAATATTAGGTCTGTGATTTTATGATTGATAACAATTTTGGTAAAATATATTTCATTTGGGAAAACATGTATCACAACCAGATATTGAGCAAATATGTTGTGACATCTTAAACAATTGTCATAACAGATGCTGCTGCCTTCAGATATTGAGCAAGATGTTGTGACATCTTTGTCAAATGATATAACAGATTATGCTGTTACTTTCTTGACAAACATCATAATATTAGAGGAACATTTTGATATAAAAAATCCATGAGCTCAACTAGTTTAAGAAACTCAACTCGTTCTGGAGATGCAGAACCAACCGCATTAGGCATTTCATGTTAAGAAGTTGGAACATGTGCAGACAAAATATAATCAGGTGCGGAAAGGGTGATACTAGAGTCATGTGCGATAGTAGGAACATGTGCAGTTTGAGCAGTTGAAATAGGTGTTGTCTGAATTGCAGGAACAAGTACAATTTCAGTAGTTTGTGATGCGAAATCATTCACATTTGGTTGTGGTTGTGTTGTCTCAAATTTTGTTCCAATATTCGCAGTAAACATTTCAAACTCAGGATCAATATCAAGTTGAGTTATTATAGGTTGAGGTTGAGGGTGCTCTTGTATTGGAGGTACAAATTCAGTAGGTTGTGGTTGCTCTTGTGTTGTATTCCTAGATGGTTCTCCTGTAGCAGTTTTCTTTGGTTTTCTCTACACAAAAACTCAAAAAATTAATAAGCCATAAACAACAATAATAAATCATTCATAGTATGACCATAAATAAACACCTCTCTTTTTTGAGCTTCAGGGTCTTGGTATAGCCACAACACTAATAAATCATTCATAGTATGACCATTTAACACTGATCGTTCAATAATTTCTTCCTTAAATTCATAAAGTGATCTGATAAATGCAAATTGTAGTTATATTTGTATATACTTTTTGTTGCACTTATCGACTCTTTATTGTTAATATCGATTGAATAAATCCGACATTTGTGTAAATACATTTAGTTTGTGATTATTTATGTTTTTATATATATAATGTACCGTTTGATGTTTTTCCATTTATTTTGTAGGTATTTGTTGCATTTTGGACCATCTAGGAATAAGGTGTCGAAGACACGACTCTGATGCACGTTTTCAGAATAAAAGACCAGTTTCTCCCAAGAGAGCCCGCTTAGTGCGCAGAAGGCCGCTAAGCGCAAGTGCGCTCAACTCATTTTGTAGCATGCTGTTTTCATTTTGACATTTTGGCAGAAGCATAATTTTGGAGCCCGCTTAGTGCGGATAGCGCGCTTAGCGCAATTTAGATTGATTTAATGTGTAAATATCGTGCAAGCCATTAAGCGCGGTGAGCCCGCTAAGCGTGGTCTGCTGAGATTTGTTTTATAACTTCATTTTCAGTTCATTTTTTATGATGGTTTTGAGGAAGTTTTTGCTCTCAACTATATCAATATCCAATTTTGTTAGGATTAGCTTAGATAAAAATTATGGAGCTTGCATACAGATGATCCAAGGTGGATTTCTCTTTGATCGGCTATGAGAAACTAGTAGATTTGCAGTTCATTTCTCTTTTTCATTGTCTATTCTCTATTGGTTGGGTTTGTATATGTATTTTCTTTGAACTCATGTATATTTGTCTCCCTTGGCGTTATATAAAACTTGCTTTACAAATCTTTATCGATTGTTATCCTTGATTTTTGCTCTGTGCTAGGGATTTGAGTTGCTATAGACATATACTGCTTGAATTCTTATCTAGGATGATTATCTAATAGTGTCTGAATTCTAGAGATAGATTTAGCGCTGTTATTCACTTAGGGTGTCTGTGATTAATGTCTCTGTGTTGTTTGTGTGGCTCTGAGAGATTGTCGATGCAAGCGAGCATGATTGACTTCTGTGTTGTTAAGATTGATTGAGAGATCACTGCCAAGGTGATACAGTGGATGTTGTGTTTGACACATGATGACATCAATGAATATTGTAGGTTTATTATAACAGGTCGATAGGTTTAAGTCTGTGAGAATTAGTATATATGCATGCTTGATAAGTTATTCCTTTTTTATAAATTTATTTTCTGTTGATACTTTTCCTTTTAACTCATTTATCCCCAAACTCATTAACAAGAGATTTATCGAACGACATTTCAATACACCAATCTCTGTAGACACGGTACGATATAACCTAAATATCACCCGGTAAACTAATAACTTACTTTTTTCTTGCCCCTTTACCGCATCCAGCAAAATGGCGCCATTGCCGGGGAATGATGTTTATTATTTTGCATTGCGATAGTTTCTTCGTTTTTGAGTTTTGTAATTAATGTATATGTTGTATAGAATGTGTACATAAACTTGTCTATTTTTACTTATAAATTTTTTGTGTTTACTTTCCATAGTTGTGCATATATGTGTTTTTCTTTGTTTTCACTTATTTTTGTGAATTGTCTCGTTTTCGTAATGTTAGTCGTGTGGATGCTAGGACACTTTATTTAGGTTTGCGTGGTATGACAATACCATGGCATGACGAAAGGAGGTTACTAGCTCGCGCAATAAAGGCTTCGAGCTTACGACGTAAAACAAGCATGTTTTGTTTGTATTCATTTATGTATGTGTTGACTTGTGTTTTAACAAGTTGAAATTGGACTTGTTTTAAATTCTCAAATTTTCACTTTTCAACTTGTTAGTTCACTTTCAACCGTTTGTTTTGTTATGTCAATTTGTGTTTTTCTGTAAGCTTGTCGTGTTTAGCTTGAGGAAGTTTGTATGTTGTAAATATTGTATGTTTGAGGTTATGTAGGTGTAAGTGGAGCTTGCATAGCAACTGCACCAGTTGCCCTGTTTTTCTACAACTGGTATAGCGCACTTAGTGCGCTCTGTGCCGCTTAGTGCGTTCTGCTATGCAGAGCCAATGAATTCTTTTTAATTTCTTGTTTGGCTCTCCTTTTTCTCACTTCACCCAAGGCTCTATAGTATAGTAATTAATCGTAATATTTTTAATTCTTTCTTTTGTTGTTTGAACTTAAATTTTGGTTAGATATCTTGAAAACGCATTTGGTGATTTTTCGATTTTGAATGTTTCAACTTGTGGATGTATGGTAATGATAGTTTTTAAAGTTGGTACTCACTAGGTACTTGTTTATCTCTTTTTATAACATAACATGTTTAGGAAATTTATCGTTTGTATAATTACCATGCCATTCATTCTTTTTGCATTACTTGCTCATGACTTGAATCACTTTAGTTCTCTTTTTACCCCTAAATGTGAGGAAACTTTCCATTGTTCATATATGATGGAGGCAACAATTCTTGTTTTAACTGGATTTTATTATGTTTAATATTTTGTTTGTGTTGATTGTATGAAAGCATGAACATGATCAAGGCATTTTTTGTTTCATTTTGAGTACAACTACCTTGGTAAAATAGTCAATTCACCTTGTGAGTGTGTGACCATTAGTAACCCCTCTTGACCCCTTTTTTTGTCGATGTCCATGTTGGTTTTGCTAAATGTTTGTCTATGAGTGATTGGTTCATCTTTTTGTATGGATATTGATTCTTTGTTTTCTTGAACCCTCAACTATGATTTATAGTTTTAATGTTTACCTTGCCTTAGAAAGTAGGGAGTATTCACATTATGATATGGTTGAATTCAAGTTGGGGAGAGAAATACTTATGTGCTTGTGTGTATTACTATGAGGATGAGAAAGAAAAAGAAAGAAAGAAAGAAAAAGAAAGAAAAGTGAAAAAGAAAGAAAAAAAATTGAAAAAGTTTTGAAAAAAAAAACAAAAAGAGTTCGAATAATGTTGTGATAATAAGTGATGTGTGTTGGTTTGAAATTTGGAATGAAGAAGAAGTTTGATTGAAATTATTTTTCTTGAGTCTTTATGAGTTGATCACACCCTTAGGTTAAGGCAAGTTTTTGTTTCGATTAGCTTTAGGACTTATCCCTTGTTTGTTAACCAAGCCACATTACAACCTTAAAAAGCCCTTGTGATTCTTGCCTTTGTATTTTCAATATGAGTTTTTAGATGAATGCATAATTTAGTCTATTGTTTGCAAGAATGTGGATGAGTATTTTTTGTCTCTCACCTTTGTGTGTTCTTCATCTAACGATGAATTTGTACTAGGTGTGATTCATGATTAAGCTTGTTTTGTTATGGTTTTTGTACTTAGGATTCGTTTCGTTTACATGTTGTCATTGTAGGATTGTGGTAAGTATTTATCTTTTGTGTGCATTTTTGTTTGAACCATACATTTGTTTTCCGTTTTAAAACTTGTTGACTCATGATATTTTGGTTGATTAATTTTGGTTCTTTGAGTTGTTTGGCCTTGTTTGAGGACAAATAAGTTCAAGTTGGAGAGAGTTTGATAAGTGCAAATTGTAGTTATTTTTGTATATATTTTTTGTTGCACTTATCAACTCTTTGTTGTTAATATCGGTTGAATAAACCTGACTTTTGTGTAAATACGGTTAATTTGTGTTTTTGTGTACATAGTATATCGTTTGATGTTTTTCCATTCATTTTGTAGGTATTTATTTCATTTTAGAGCATCAAGGAATAAGATATTGAAAGCACGACTCCGGATGTGCGTTTTCAGAATAAAAGACTAGTTTTGCCCAAGAGAGCCCACTTAGCATGTAGAAGGCCGCTAAGCGCGAGTGCACTCAGCATATTTTATAGCGTGCTGCTTGTATTTTGACATTTTGGCAGAAGCATAGTTTTGGAGCCCGCTTAGCACAGATAGCGCGCTTAGCGTGGTTTAGGTAGGTTTAATGTGTAAATATCGCGCAAACTGCTTAGCGCGGTGAGTCTGCTAAGCGCGGTCTGCTGAGATTTGTTTTATAACTTCATTTTCAATTAATTTTTTGTGATGGTTTTGGGGAAGTTTTTGCTCCCAACTCCATCAACCTTCAATTTTGTTAGGATTAACTTAGATAACAACTATGGAGCTTGCATACGGATGATCCGGGGTAGATTACTCTTTGATCAACGCTGACAAACTGGTAGATTTGTTGTTCATTTCTCTTTTTCTTTGTGTATTATCTATTGGTTGGGTTTGTATATGTATTTTCTTTGAACTCATGTATATTTTTCGCCCTTGGCGTTATATAATACTTGCTTTATAAATCTTTGTCGATTGTTATCCTTGATTTTTGCTCTGTACTAGGGATTTGAGTTGCTATAGACATATATTGCTTGAACTCTTATCTTGGATGATTATCTAATAGTGTCTGAATTCTAGAGATAGATTTAGCGTTGTTATTCAATTAGAGTGTCTGTGATTAATGCCTCTATGTTGTTTGTGTCGCTCTGAGAGATCGTCGATCCAAGCGAGTACGGTTGAATTCTGTGTTGTTAAGGTTGGTTAAGAGATTGTCACCGAGGTGATACAATGGGTGTTGTGTTTGACACATGATGACATCGATGAATATTGTAGATTTAATATAATAGGTCAATAGGTTTAAGTATGTGAGAAGTAGTATATATGCATGCTTGATAAGTTATTCCTTATTCCTTTTTATACATTTATTTTCTGTTGATACTTTTCGTTTCAACCCATTTATCCTCAAACTCATTAACAAGAGATTTGTTGAACAGAATTTCAATACACCAATCTCTGTGGACACGATACAATATAACCTTAATATCACCCAGTAAATTAATAACTTACTTTTTACTTGCCGCTTTACCACTCCAACATGATCCAAACTCCAATCCCACTTTGAACTTATAATTCTTGTCCAACTCCTTCATCTTAAACCTAGGATACTTTAGTTCATTCTCTTGATCTGAAGCATCAGGGTCACTACTACAAAGCTCGTCACTAGCATAGTTAGTGTCCATCTCATTGTCCATGTCCACACCACTAAATGAACCTATATGATCAACACCAATTGGTATTTGGAGTGTGCTTGTCCTTCCATTTCTACAAGTTTCACCCATATAGAAAATTAATTCCACATTAACACCATTTACCACATCACATTTTTTTAACATAAGTTTAAAATTAGAGATTAACTCTAAAAGAAAATCAACAGTTAGGGACTCCATAAAAAAATTTAGGGACTAAAACAAACACTCTAACTTACAGGGACGAAAAATTATTTAAGTCTTTATTTAACTATTTAAGATGATAGATTAAGTAGAATCTTCTTAAAAAAGTAATGGAGTTGTTGATGCACAATCTAATAATAAAGACTCAACATCCCCAACAAAGAATTAAAGAATAAATAGTGAAGTTCTATTTTACTTATGACAATATATCATATACAATGTTGAAATAATGTGTATGGCAAAAAGCATAATATAAATAACACAAAAATTGATAACTCAATTCCGTACAAAAGCACCTATGTATAGAGAGTATTAACTCAATAAAAGGAAACCCATTCTTAATAGTTAGAAGTACAAATTTGTCTGATTTAAACTCTCTTCGTTCAATGTCTCTTTTCTTTATACTACTCATAAACTTCGATCTAGACTCCCTCTAAATTTGAGACCTCTCTCACTTTTACTCAAACATTCTCCCGAGTGTTTGGACAATTATAATAGCATATGAATGATGAAGCAACAATATAACTCAAATACCCTATTCTCGTAAACTTAGAATTATGACACGAGAATAAAGCATTACAAAAACAAAGACTCGAGAACAAAAAAACACGTCAAATTTAGTAGTTCAAGGTCCGAGTCTATGCAAAGGAGAACGGGTCCTTAAATAGAAATCAAAAGTCCAGCTAGAAAACCCAATAGCATTTTTGATTAAATGCATCTGAACCTCAAAAAACGCATGAGATTAATCTTTAATAATGTTGATTGCAAATTTTGACTAACAAAATCTTGAATAAATCTGAATCTCTTGAATATACAAAACTCAATCTTGCTGAAACCGATTCAGTAGTGTTGATTGCAATCATGGTTTCCGAGTTACAAAATGTGTGTGGTACAGGTGGCGCAGGAGGCGGGAGGTTAGACACACTCAATAGTTTACATTGTGATGTTTGATATTTTTTTTAGTATTTCCTGGTGTATTTTTGAAAACCTGTTATATATGAACTTATGTTGACTATTTTTTTATTAATGTATGAATATTTACCCTTCTTTAAATTTAAATTTACTTTGATTTTACGTTAATTTAAGTTACTGTATGCATTTTGGCCTAAAAAAATTGAATGTTTGAACAATGATGCTGGTCTGATGTGAATCAGAGAGGGCTCTAAAGATGCATCTCTGAAATAATCCCCCTTTGTATTCACCACGCTTTAAAAACCATTCAGGGTACATTTCGGAGATACATCTCCAGATTTATCCAAATACCTTACGGAGATGATAAAACCAAGAGAAGATAATAAAATCTACAAAGGTTAAAGATAAATTAAGAAAATAAAACTTTTTCATTCATTTGATTTCATACCCTAGTGTCTCAATAAGACTACAATATATAATGTTACTAGTGAATAACAAACTAAAACGTCCAAATATTAATAAAGACCCAAATAAATAACAATACAAATAAAATTACTAATATAAATTCTTAATAAACTTAAATACTAAATTCCGCTCTCTATCATTGTCGTCGGGTTCACCTCAAGGTTCTAAAATTACTCTTAGATACCATTGTTTGAATGGAGAGAAGAAGACCTCTAGCAGTTAGCCAAAATTATTGGAGAAAGTTCAAAATGAGTTGTTGTCTGTGTATGCAAGTCAGCTTCTTGAGAAAGAACACTCTGGATGTCATGCTCTACTTAGAGATGATAAGTGTGAAGACTTGTCAAGGGTGTTTTTTTAGGCTATTTTCTAAAATACCCCGTGGCTTGGATCCTATATCTAGCATATTTAAGCAGCATGTTACCACCTAAGGCATGGCATTGGTGAAGCACGCCGAAGATGCAACTGGCATATGTGAAATCCTGTTTCCAGAATCACACTCTTTTCCATAAGGCTCTTAAAGAGGATTTTGAGGTCTTTTGCCACAAAGGTGTTGCTGGAAACTCTACTGCAGAACTTCTTGCCACTTTTTGTGATAACATTCTCAAGAAAGGAAGAAGTGAAAAATTGAGTGATGAAGCAATAGAAGAAGACCTCTACAGAATAATTGTTGATGCAAACAATCACCAAATCCCTCGAAATAAGTGTTGTTACGACGCGAAGAATTCCATACCTAGTAGCATTGTGCAATGTTGTCTTTCTATTTTTCCTTACTGTCATTATTGAACTAACATTAATGAAATTCTGGCAACAAATACTTAATGTCACAGTGAATGTTATGACACCGTATCTGACAAATTGTACACAAACCAAACAGTAATTTAAAAGACAGTAAAGAACACAATCAATTGTTAACCCAGTTCATTGTATAACAACACCTACATCTGGGGGCTACCAAGCCAGGGAGGAAATTCACTATAAGAGGTATTAATTTAGGAATAAACCAACCAGTTTATCTCCTTCACTTAAGACCTACCCAATGCAACTTCAATCTAAGTCCTACTTAAACCTGAGTTCCTACTCACTCCCCCTCAATCACAACAGTGATACTAATCTACTGATTAATAAGATTATGAAGACATTCTTCAATACACACGCTTGATTTTGCTTCAAAGCTTTAATCAAGAGACACAACACTCGTGCTTCAAAGCTTTGAGTGATAAACAACCCTTACAACCAAATCCTACTCCAAGTCACTTATCAAGTGATAATTGCTTGGATCACAGTAATTACTAAAACTATCACAACTACAAAATGCCTTATAGATCTTCTCTGAAAAGTGCTACACACCATTAGTATTCATGAGAAATATATATGCAGTCTATTCTTCATTTTGGGCTTCCATAAAAATAGCTAGGGTTAACCAAAGTTAACCTAAAGACTTGGTCTTGGGCTTTCATCATAACAGATTAGGGTTAAGCAAGGTTAACCTAATATCCACGTGAGCATCTGATCTAGTCAATATACTTCAACTCAGAATAGCACACCAGATTCCTGAAAATTCTCAGGAACAATAAATCTGCACAACAACTTGATCAGTACAGGATGTCTTAACATTGGTTATGACATCATGTATCCTGCTCACTGATTTTGGTAGAATTCAGTACATATGATCATAGCTTAATCATCATGATATTCACTCATACTGAGTTGTTCTTGTAGAACATTCCTTTTGCAGAATTTGTCTTTATCCCAGAATGTTATGACATCAGTCATGACATTCGCAAATCTGGTTTTACCAAAAATTAATGCCAACAAGCAAACACTTACAAACTCCCACTTTGGCAAATTTTTGGCTAAAACCCCTAAACAATCAGAGATTAGAATGCAGAAGCAACATGACAATCAGAGATTAGAATGCATAAGCAACATGCAGTAGAACCACAATTACTTCTCCCCCTTTTTAGCCATAAAGAGGCCAAAGGATCTAGTACTTCAAGTTATACAGTCATCAAAAGGAAATCCAAAATACACAGAAACAGAGAGAAGGTATCAAATAGCAACAGCAAGTTCCAGCATCAATCTTTACAACTCAGCAAACACAAACCTTCAGGTACTGTCATCCCCTGAGGAAACACTATTTTCAGCAGCATCTTCTGGTGAGCTTCTTGCAGAACCATCATGCTGTTCTTCATCAGCATCAGTGACAGGAGGTTCAACAGCCTTGTCAGTAGGGGTCTGGTGATCATCAGGTTTCTCTGGAGATTTCTCAATGTTGTCATCAGGTGTCTCAACATTCTGAGTGACATTGGGATCACTTTCTAAATTAGGGCTAGCAGTTTCTTGGTTCAATGGTACAAATACACCAGGAACAGAGTGATTCTCATTAAGAATCCTAGTGACTAGTCTGGAAATAGCTTGATGCATATAAGCAAAACCTTCCCTATTAGCTATCTCTGGAGGAACAGAGGATGATGGTTGAGAAGATTTACCAGAGGGAGAAGCTTGCGATCTTCTTGCATGTCTAGTTCGCAACTTCTTGACCTTAGTAGGATCAGCTGCCATTGCACGAAGTGGAGTTACCTCAAGAACATCAGCATCCATGGGTTTTACGTTTGCCCTAGGTTCGGTGTCAGTGGGTGAGGAAGATGCAGTTGCCTTTGATGAAGATGATGACACAAATTGTTGAGACATCTTGAGAGATTGAGAATACAAGTGACAGCGAGTGTGAAATTTTCTTTTGAGGGAATGGAGAGTGATGCAGCAAACTGAGAAGAGGGAGATATAAATATGTCTATTCCTCTTCTTAAACTTTTGGAAAGAAAGAGGGAAACAAATGATTAGTCCAATCAGAATAAACTTGATTAAAATATCTCTTTCAAACCTTGTATTAAACAAAATTAATTGCTACATCTCTTCATATTGGCAAATACCCAACTTGCCCCTTAAATTCTCAAACTGACTAGCATCAAGTGCCTTGGTAAAAATATCAGCCAGTTGTAGTTCAGTGGCAACATGTTCCAGCTTAATCACCTTCTCCTCCACAAGATCTCTGATGAAGTGATGTCTAATGTCAATATGCTTAGTCCTGCTGTGTTGTATAGGATTCTGGTATATGTTAATAGTACTCAAATTGTCACAGTACAATGTCATGACATCTTGTGTGACATTATACTCAGTCAGCATCTGTTTCATCCAGATCATTTGAGAACAGCTGCTATGTATTTAGCTTCAGCAGTAGATAGAGACACACAGTTTTGTTTCTTGCTGAACCAAGAAACAAGATTATTTCCCAAAAAGAAGCATCCTCCAGAGGTGCTCTTTCTATCATCAGCACTACCAGCCCAATCAGCAACACAATAACCAGACAGAATTGGTTCACATCCATGAGAGTACAACATGCCATAATTGTAAGTTCCACTCACATACTTCAGAATTCTTTTCACCTGGTTGATGTGACTTACTTTGGGTTCAGCCTGGCATCTTGCACATAATCCAACTGCAAAGGCAATGTC